AAGGATGTCGCTTCACAATAGCGGAATTTGAAACAAGATATTTAGTGTTGTACAGATTTCTTCACTGTGTTCAGTATCTGGAAGGAAATAGGAATTATTGGTTAAAAACTTAGCAAATACATGTTTATTCACTCGTATGTTGGCTGCACTAATTTGGTATTCTGACTAGTGATAGAATCTGGCAACTCGAAATAGGTATACTCTGGATTTAAATTTGAGATTCAGCTTTAACGCTCATAGAAGTGGCCTAAGTGGCCTTTTCTAGTTGGCGTTCTATTTATCAAGGTTCTTTTTCACGGTATGGGGTCGTTGACTTTATACTCAACCCTCTCCCTTCACCCGGGCTTAAACCAGTAGTAACCATAGAAAGGCTCTAAATGGAGCTGTTTAAAGAAATACCAGTAGGTTTCTTTTCGTTGAATTAACAAATTCAATTGTTCGATCACTTGTATGTTGTTTTAGTAAGTTGTCAGTTTAAGAACCACATCACTGTAATTTCATTATGAATCACTTCAATACTCACACACTTAGTGTGTTCCACGTATCGGTCACACACCTATTCAGTGAAAATGACAATAGAAATACTATTTACCTACAGATGTCACTTTTCGTAGACCATAAACCGCTGACCAGGATTCTCCAACAAACTTTGTCCTGCACTCTCCTTTCCAGTCGTTTCTAAGTCCTATTCATTCTTATGATGTCTGCCTTGAAGTCCCGGTGAAATGTGTACTCTGGTCTACCTCTTTTCATTTCACATTCAGGATTGGAAGTTAGGGATATCTTTATAATGGTTTTTGGTGATTTCCACGATGTATGTCCTATCCACCTCCAGTGTCTTCTCCGACTTCTCCCTTCATCTGGAAGCTGGTTTGTTCTCTATCATAGTGATTGTTTGCTGATGGTATCCATCCAACGAATATTAAGTATCTTGTGTAGACAACTGTCTATAAGTGCCTGTACATTTTTGATGATGGTTGTAGTAGTTCTTGAATGTTTTGGTCTGTGAAACAGAACTGTGTCAACGTGGATTGTGTGACAATTAATTAGTGTTCCATGTGTTCTTGAATTGTCGCAATACTGACCTTTCTCTGCCAATCTGTGCCTTCACATTTACTTAAGATCCTCGTTATTTATCCATGATGCTGACCAGGTACTTGAAACTTTCCAGCTCGTCCAAGACCTGTCGATCCAGTGTGATTGGTTGTTTGCTCTCTGTGTTGTATGTATTTCAGGAAATTGTTTTCCTCTGAACATGTTGCGATCCACGGGATGTCTGCAACTGTATTCGTTGCTGTTTGTGAGATAGAAGAGCTAAGTCATGCACGAATTCGAAATTTTTCAGCCGTGTCCATGTTGTTCATTGTATTTGGTGGTTCTTCTGACCATTCTCACCATCTTCGTTCGTTTCTCCCAATTAGTCCATTTCGTCTCATGTTATCTCCATACTAGGTGTTGTCCATTCCAACCTTGGTGTTTAGTTTTCCCATCAGGATTGTTAGGTTGTTTCCTGAACACGTCTGTGCGATTGACTGCAGCTTCTCATGAAACTCATATTTGTTGTGTTCGTTGAAATCGCTGGTGAGTGTATTTCACTGGACAAAATTCATTGTGATTCTCTCCTTCTTTGTTGTATTGAAGGATGCCTTGATGATCCTGGATTCATGAGATTCCCATCCCATATGTTTTTCGGCACTTCTTTGAACAGCATAACCACAACTCCTTGTGTATGGGAAGGTTTGTCTTCTTCATGACTAGAGTGCAACAGATTCTCTCTCGAATCCTATCCTTTCTATTCAGCTTGCGTCCAATGAGTTCCACTTCTTCTGAACATCATCAGGTTATATATCCTCATTTTCGTAGATATTCAATTAGTCCTCTCAGTCTCCCACATTGTGCGAACATCCTATGTATCCATATTTATCGTTGCTCTGTTTGTTAGAAGTGATATCGACCTCGTGACTTCCAAAGAATGTTGGTTTTCACTTCATCATGAGGCGTCATAATTCTTCTTTATGAAAAACCTTCAACTCCTAATGCAGCGTTTAAATGAGTTTCCATAGTTTGCATTTTCCTTAGCATGGTTCTGTACTACGAGATGGTATTGTTAACCTTTTGTCCGACCCTCCTGTTTTATCCGGATTCGGGACTGGCGGTGACCTCGAAAGTCTTCAGGTTAAACAATAACAATATAGAATTGTTATGATTAGTTTCGTAGGATTTCGTTATTCATTTTTAATACAATTTGATATGTAATCACTACTATGTTATAATGATAAAGACAATAATGGTGTACAACGAATACTGCAACCGGATAGTTTAGTTTTGGTTCTTTTATATAAAATTACATTTTGCATGCAAAACACAGTAACTTCTATTGTCTTCTAGCATGATTTCTCTCCCGTCGTTAAAAAAAAATTTTTTACTCTCGTTAGTTACATTTCAGTGTTTGTAAACAAGGAATTGTTTAGTAGACAAGAAAGAGAACTGATTTATTTTTCGCCTTATCATTGACACATTGAATTATTCATGCTTTGTTTTTGTCATTTTGCATTTACTCACTTTTAAGGTGTAACACTGAAGTGAATGAGTAGTAGAACCTGTTCAATAATATAAGTATATATGAGATGTGACAACGAACAGTTTTTTTTCTTTTCAACAAAATCGATAATAGTAGTCACAATTGATTGATCACTGGGTGTCGAGTCACCTAGACTGGTGGCCACATTGCAACATGATCGATAGCATTCGATCTGCACTAATAAGGACTAGACACGCATGACATTGATCGCCACCCAGTGATCAATCAATTATGATTACATCTCAGTCCTACAGGAGGTTAGTCACGGCTGGGATAGCTCAATGGTAACGTCTCTGACTGTGAAGCTGGGTGACACGAGATCGAATCGGCCAGGGAGCACCAGTTCCCTCAAGATTACAGGTACACCTTGCTGACGAGTGCCAAGTAGCACGAAACCCGGATCCAAGGTTTCTTGTCGACTACCTCCAACCACCATCTTATCTCAATAGTAGTAGTGTTTACCAATTTATGCCACAAGATTTTTCTATTTATCATACTTCTATCTTATTAAATCTGAATGAGTTCTGTTGTGTTCTATTTTTTTCAAAGATTATTCCTGTATAAGTTGAGGATAATCGACTATTTCTTGTTTAGGTTTATAGATGCACTCACTTAACAGTATTATTATCCAAATAATGTACAGGGTCAACTCATTTGTATTAAGTGTAGTCGAGATCACGGTGGTTCACTGGTGAAACAACTCGACTTTCAATCAATAATTTACAGGTTTGAACACAGCTTCACTTATTATGGTTTAGTCAGCGTTCATACATACAGTGTGACTGAAAAGCGAATACACAAATATATATAAGGGAAATTAATATCATCTAGAAATCTCTATTTTCTAGATGGATTCTCATTTCATATTTAAATCTATGATTTGGACATGTTTCATGCATGCTTTTCAAATAGCTTCTACGATAATCTTTTTACTGATCCTAGAATCAGTTGAATACAATAGGCGATCATTCATTTTGTGGTCTGGTGCTGTGAAGTCAATAAATAGTAAAGATTTGTTGATATAAAAAGAGAGATCCCATTATTCACTGGCTTGGAATCTTATTTAACTCAACTAGTAGTAATGTAAAACACGACAATAGGCAGGTGGTACGTTTATTTATTGCGAGAAGTTACAAAGTATTTTCATAATACATATACATAGCCTTCAATTGTCCATTTACATCTTCCGGTGTGTTCTGCAATCTGAACTGGCTTCCAAGTGATCTGCCAATGCTGTGCTTTCGACGCACTGAAACTTTCCACTCTGTCCGACAATTGTTACAAACTCGACACCACGTTCCACTAAACACTACTTGCAAACAATCTTGTGAGTAGCAGCCATTATAGTAGTTATTTTGGAGTCTCTTGTCTTCCAAGAAATCGGAGAGATTGTATTAAGCGGTTATGATAAATGTTTCTTTGATTACTTACTTTGTATCTTCTCGATGGTATCATTTATTGAAACCGGGTAAGTAGTAGTGAGGTTAGACACAGGGTATTACAAAATGATAGTAAATCAGTTGATGAGGTTGTGAATGTTCATAGACGGTTGAGCCACGTGTTCTTACGTATACCTGGACACCGATTACCATGAAGCGCAGTGCTGACTAGTGTTGGAGACGGTTGGAAGAAATTTAGGAGCGGCCAAACTAAAACGTGGCATCAATGCTTGAAGTTACTAACTTCTAGTCTCATTCATGTTGATAGATGCAGATCACTTGGTTGTGGTCCGTGTGACTATCATAACCAGTGGTTGGAGACTCTGAGTGACATGACACAGAATCGATCACAGTAGTGTAGGTTTATACGCTCTTTGTTTTCCCTTAAACTGTGAGATTAAAACTGCTTTATATCTTTCTTTCTACGAACTAATTCTTTCTTCCTGTATTATATCCATATACGCAATCCTTCTTTTGTATATTACCACCATTGAATTAACTACTTCTATGAATTTGGTGTCCGTCTTGTTGTGTTAATGAGGTATGGCAACTTGAACCGATGCATATATGTGCCTGGTCCTACGTTGTAGCTCACTGACTAATATCAATGAAATGTAAAACTGTAATTATCCATGTAAATTTCCAAACTTTATCACTAGCAAAGCACTGAATTGTAACTCATTTACCAAGTATTCGATTCTGCGCTATACTGTTTGTATCCGAGATAATGATATTTCCCGACTACCAAAACTGAATAAGATGAAAAAAGGTTCGAAACTAAAATTATTTGATTAAAAGTTAAATGTATTTTAATCACTAATTCACCGATCTGCAATTGCTAAGATCAGTGGGCTTAACTTCCAGTTGTTAAGTTTAAGGTTTTGTAATATTTACAACATTATTAAGAGTGTTCATACGTATATACTTATATATACTGTACTTTGATATACTGTACCATTTATTTATTTTTATACTTTTAGTTGTAGGCAACCAATACCATTGGATAAATTGATTCCATTCAAAACAAGTGTTATTATTGTATTCCATAATGAAGCTTGGTCAGCTTTATTGCGTACTGTTCATTCGGTTCTTGATCGTACACCAGTACAATTGCTTCATGAAATTATTCTTGTAGATGATGCTAGTACACAATGTAGGTACTTAATGCTATTTCATTTTTATTTTGATTAAACTTTTAATTTCTTACTAAAATGTTTAGATTGAATGAAATGATTATTACTGAAATCAAATCTTGATGGTATATTCCATTGTTGTATTGTAAACTAGACAAAATGCGAATTTCATAATTCATTCTTACAAGATCTTAAAAATATCCATAACATATTTTGTTATTCCTTAGTTTTTTTTTGAGTATATGTTCTTATTTATTTATTTATTTATTTGAATACATAAATACTGGTACAAGGGGGCACCAGTTACATATGTGCCACACAAATCTCATTTGGTATATGTGAGGGCTGTGATACTGCCCGGGTGCCCAAACCGAAACAGGTGGTTTCCTTAGGGGGTCATACCCGGAGCCTTCGACCTAAAGGTATAATCCGCATGGCAGTGAAGCAATGTCAGAAGATCCAGTCCCACAGTAGCCGGTGACCAACAATTGATTCATACACTATTTGTTTTCTCAGGGTCCTAGAGTCCATGTACACCGTTGGTTTGGAATCAGGGTTTTCCACCTCCCCTAGGTGGATCCTCCATACCCACCGACCTGGTGAAAGCGCCGGACATTTGCTTTTCGTGCTCTCAATTTCGTAAACAACAGTAGTGCCACGAGAAGGCGATGAGTAGGACTTCCCTGGCAGAAGCTATATACGCGTGGCTGTGTGATAGCATTTCAAGAGGAAGAGTGGACTCTCCTTACTCTCGGCCGTACCAGGGCATTTCGGGGGCAGTATATGTTCTGGTTGTTATCCACTCGATAATAGCAATCACTGATGGATAGAGACGCTAAGTAAGATTGTTCGTAATCAGTCAAGATCGTACAGATTCTCTATGTTTAGTTTGTCCCATTAAAATTACAGCTACCACTGTTTTCACTTCTTCAGTATTTATCTTATTCATCCCATCTCTTTGTGCTAAAATAATAAAGCGATTTGCGATAATATACATTTATGTTGATTAAGACTGAGGGACTTAATATGGATACATATCTACAAAAAATGAAAGGCATTAAGTGAGTTTTTCACACCATTCTTAATGTACTTGTCTAATCATAATAGAGGACTAAATTTGACATATTTGCCACTAATTTTCAAATTATTATCTTGCTTTATTAATCAACGACCACCTCTCCTTTTCAAAATTGAGACATATCATATTTGTGGTTTAATCATAATGGTGGTTGTCATATAAGTCATATCTAAAATAGATCATTACAAGATTCTATGTTGTTAATTCAAGTGTGTTTTTGCACATATCTCTTCTTCATTAAATCGATAAACTTAGAAACCTTTTCTGTTTAATTAAGAAGTACACTAATAAGTTTAATATAGACAGTACTTTTAATATGAATTTTAGTGCAAACTTAATAGTCACTAAAGCTCTATATTATCAAACCTTTAAAAATTGATTAGTAATTTCAGTAGTTGAAATCATGAGTCAGTTAAAGCTAGACCACCATGAAAAACTTGGAAGCACTGAACGGCCGTTTCGTCCTAGTATGGGACTCCTTAGCAGTGCGTACTCACGATCCCGCCATTCGCGGGGTTCGAACCCAGGACCTATCAGTCTCACGCGCGAGCGCTCAACCATTAGACCACTGAGCTGGCATCCAACGATGTTAATGTCTAACTTCAACCAATCCAGGAAATTGCGCCACCGTCACCATTGTCTCCAGTGATCTCACATCTCACAACAGACTTGGTTGAACTCTACTGGTCACGGCTTCTCACTAGAACTCCAGGAGTGTCTCTTGAAGTCAGTCACTAGTGAGCAGATGATTATTATCAGAAATGGTGAATATGCATTGCTGAGGAGTCCCATACTAGGAAGAAACGGCCGTCCAGTGCTTCCTGGTTTTCCATGGTGGTCTAGCTTCAATTGACTCATGATTTCAATTATTGAAATTACTAAAATCTCCACAAAACCCTTTCTGATATCAAGGATTAGCCTTGTTATCACTAACTACTCCTTTCAATGTATTCTTAATAGTTCTAATCACTGGCGTAGTCGATCAGCCAACTCACTATTACGTAACTTGATTCAATTGAGAGCTATCCAATATAAACACAGTTTAGCTTCACAAACAACAGTCTGCATTTCAAAAACAAAAATATGTAACATTATGAATAAGTTTTGGTGGGTAATTTCAGACGTATTCGATTTTGTTCTTCTTCGCCGCATCATTTATAGTATACCTTTGTCCATGAATTAATTCGAGTTTAGAAAAGTTAAACTTTGGATCAAATGAAGTAGTTATGTTTTTGATGTGCAAAATTGCTACCTGCCTCGACTTTTTTCTCATCTTAATATGAAGCTTGTTTAAGTAGATTCATAATAAACAAAACATCTAGTCAATAGTATTAGAACAGTATTGGAAAATTTTGTTAGATTTTTCTTCTCTGAGCTGTATGGTTTGGTCGTGGAATTTTCATCGTTCTTCTGAACGACATCATCAGCTCACAGGACAAAACTCCATCAAAATCATACACCTGAGCTACAAATCTTTTCAACCATATCAAGTATTGAAAAATGTTAACAACCTTATGAAATCCAATTGAAGGGAGAGCTTATTATTTAAATGTGCTCTCTCTCTCTCTGTATATATATCGTTTCGTCTTGTGTAGTTCTGCACTATCCCAGTTTGTTCATATGTATCTATGATAATTTTTATTGTATCCAGCCCATTTAGGTGATCAATTGAAAACTTATGTAAATTCACTAAATAAACCTGTACGAATTGAACGAATGTCAAATCGAAGTGGTTTAATACGTGCTCGATTACATGGAGCGAAAATTTCCACTGGTAAAACGCTTACATTCTTAGATGCACATTGTGAAGTGACTATTGGTTGGCTAGAAACTCTACTTAGACATATTTCAGAAAATCAAGAACGTATAGTTTGCCCGATCATTGATGTTATTAGTCATGATACGTTTGAATATCTTCTTGGTAAGTTTTCTTTTTTTTCCAATCTATTTTTCTCTCAATTTACACTTTGTCTTTTACTATTCATAAAATTTTGTATTTTTATCGTTGTTGATATTTAAGGTTGGACTTGATCAATCTCTGCTGGTAAAGGAGCTGGTTAGATGAGTGTTAAGATATTTCCTTTGGTGACAAAGTTTTAGTATATTTTGAATGGTGACTAGCAGTGAAATACGAGGGACGTGTTTCGTAATATTCAGGACTCATCAGTTAGTGAATGTATCTTCATACCAGTGTGTGAACACTAACACTGTTTGGATGTGCATAAATATTTAAATAGATAAAAACTTAAATCTTGGATTTTACTACTAGTCAGTATTGCACTGATGACATTAGAATGAGAATCATTTAATTCTCGAATCAACTGTAGTTGAAAATGTCAACACAACCCGACTTAGTACATCGATGGTTGTAAAGAGACTATAAGGTCCTAGGTTAGGTCCTTGTATGCTGTTGTAAGTGTCCGCCGCTGTATAGTCTCATAATCAGATAAAATTACTGTTTACTTTTCAATGAGTTTAGCTGATCCCTTAGTGTTGTTGTGTTCTCAAAACTATAGTGTATAATTACGAAACTCTTATTTTCGTTCTGGACATTATCACCAGCCCGTGCTTCTTGTAAAATCGAGCTTTCTACTTATTCCACAACTGTTAAATTAGTTCATTCTTATGGCATTATTTGTGATTGATTGTCTTTGTGTGTTTCGTTGTCTTCGTTTTTGCTTTCATTCTTATTGATTGTCTTTTGCTGTTTACCTTTGATCATATAATTGACTAACGCTTTTCATACCAATTATTATATTCGACCTGTGTTAATGTTTTTTATTGTTACTAATCGATCTAAACTTCATACTATCAGAAATTTGGTGAAATTCTTAAAATTTTAACACTTACAGCCGTAGTCAGTCAGTCAGCTACAACGTAGGACCAGGCACATATGTGCATCGGTCCAGGTTGCCATACCTCATTAGCACAGCAAGATGAACAGCGGATTCATAGGAGTGGTTAGGTCAAAGGTTGCAATAAGGATATAGTATAGGAAGAAAGAATTAGTTCGTAGACAGAAAGAATGAAGTGATTTTAATCTCTTAGTTTAAGGGAAGACAGGGAGTGTATGCACCGACGCCATTGTGATCGATTCTGAGCCATGTCACCAAGAGTCTCCAACCATTGGTTACGAAAGTCACGCGGACCCCAACCAAGTAGTCTGCATCTACCAACATGGCTCAGGCTAGAAGTTAGTGACTTCAGGCACTGATGCCACGTTTTGGTTTGGCCGCCCCTAACTTTCTTCCAACCATCCCCTACCCCGGTTAGCATTGCACGTCGTGGTAATCGGTGTTCAGGCATACGTAATACGTGGCCCAACCATCTCAGTCGATGAAGATTCATAACCTCATCAACTGATTTACCATCATTCCCTAATACCCTGCGTCTAACCTCGCTATTACTTACCCGGTGATCCCAGCAGATGCCAGCAATATTTCTAAGGCATCTGTGGTCAAATACTAGTAGCTTACGGGTGTCTTCTACTCTTAAGGGCCATGTTTCGCTGCCGTAAATTAAAACAGAACGAACTGCCGCGCAGTATACTCGTCCTTTTATTGATAGACGGATATCTCGCCTTCGCCAAAGGTGACGTAAGTTGGCAAAAGCCAAACGCGCTTTCTGAATCCGTGCTGAGATTTCGTCCGATACCAGCCCATTAGGGCTAATCACACTTCCAAGATAAGTGAAGTTGCTGTTGAGTCTTTCGATTTTTATAAATTAGAATAAAGTGATCGCGTCTGTTTACCAGCAACATCGATTCCAAACGGTTTCAGAATTCTCGATAAGACGCATCTATGATCTGTATGTGTAAAGGTTGTAGATGATTTCAAATAATGTGGTAAAGCTGATCGTGTTTTATGTTAAGCAACTTGATAATTTGTAAGTCATTTGTAAATTTACTGATTCATTTACTTGACCCTGAGCGAAACATTTTGTGTAAAGCCTATATATGAATATCAAAGCAGGTGATGGGGTTTGAAAGTGAGACTAAGCGGCCCCCAAATGCCATGGTGCGGCCAAGAGTAGGAAAAGTCAGATGTCCCCAAATACTCTCACATGGCCACACGTACAGAACCACTGTCAGGGAAGTCCTGCTCACTACCTTATCGCGGCACTACTGTTGTTTACGAAATTGAGAGGATAAAAAGCAAATGTCCGGCGCTTTCACCAGGTCGGTGGATATGGAGGATCCACCTAGGGGAGGTGGAAAACCCTGATTCCAAACCAACGGTGTACATGGACTTTAGGACCCTGAGAAAACAAATAGCGTATGAACCAATTGTTGGTCACCGGTCACCATGGGACTGCATCTTCTGACATTGCTTCACTGCCTTGTGGATTAGAACGTTAGGTCGAAGGCTCTGGGTGTGGCCTCCTAAGGAAACCACCTGCTTCCGTTTGGGCACCCGGGCAGTATCACATCCCAAATACAAATTGATGATAACTACTGGAAAAAGTAATCATGTTTTGTTTTTCATTCAGACAAACATAAGATAACATTTGGTTTTATTTCTTTTATACCACGTCACTCATATACTTCTCTTTATTCTCTTTTTGCGTATTTTATTTTTCAACTTAGCAGCTCGCCTTTGATGTAAACTCTGTCCTATCTAAACGATCTCAAGTCACTGACTGATCGAAGGTTGAATGCTACCACCGACTATGAGTACTGAACCAGTCTTCCTGAAACAGTATATCATTCACACGCCTCGTTCAACGTTCATATGCGAATGCAACAACAGATAGGGTTGATTGTCTTTAGAAAGCCTTAATATCACTGCCTGTTGTCTGTCCGAGACTTACATTCAAGAATCTAGTGAAGTATTTCAAATTCGCTGTCTATCTGTCCCGTCGAGAAGTTTGTTTCACGTGCATTTATCCAGGGACTCTTTGGCATCTTCGTCTGGTTTTGCTGGCGTTGGTGTTGAACTAAGCTCTAGAGCTGAGGTAGCACTGATCGATTGGTTCCCCATTAACAGTTGGCTATATGCTTTTAGATTAGAAATTTCCATCAAAGTGCGAAGAAATTGGTGTGAGAAACGATACGTTTTCGTTATCTCCGCCTACACCGGTTAACTCTTCCACAGAAAGTGCATTCAACAGATATTGTATTACTAACCGGAGACTTGAATGCTTAGGTCGGGCGTCTAGGCACAGAATAGAGTGACTCAGGTGGTCTATGGGGACTTACTGGTCGCAGGTCAAATAACGGTGACTGTCTACAACTCATTTCTAGCTAGCACTAACTATCGATACGGTCATTTCCGGTATGCTACCTGGTATGATCCATCTGCATCTCAAACCTGGATTCAGGTTAATCACATGGCAATCAGCGACCGTTCTTGTGATCGCGAACTAGATTTGCACTAACTTTTGGAGTACCTATCTGGACTCTGATCATGCCCTTGTTTGCGTTAATCTCACCTTACTTTCCAGTAGCCAAATAATTCATCGTCCTAAAAAGATCGATGTCAGCAAATTGGTTGTAGCTTCTGTTGGAACTAAACGTCAAACCGATCTAGGCTCAAGGCTAGCTACCACCCCACCGAGAAATATAGATGAGCATTGGCTGAAGTTGTATAACATCATGAAAATGGCAAGTCGCTTGCAGCTTCGCGAAACGTCCCGCATAGAAATGGTCAGTGTGTGACATAGCGTCGCAGTGTAAAAGAGAGCTATACAATTCTGGTTTCTGCTAGTCGTTCACGACTCCCTGGTTGGGGTCGTAGAGATGGCACAACGCAGTGGCTTGAGACGTTATCAGAAATGGCTCAGAATAGAAGCCAGTGGCGATCCTGCTGTAACTTTCTCCATAAAAGTAGACGTAACGTATTTAACTGAAAGAATTCTTTCTGGTTGTGTTTTTACAAACTGAGCTACTTCTCCCATTATTATTATTTTACTCTCATGCGCTAATTTCTGTTCGTTGTCTTCTTGTTTTTTTTCTTATACACACTTTACATTCTCTATGTCTTCATATCCTGATTGTTATTATGTGGCGCATAAGTATTTGGTGCCCTTATGTACTAGTATTCATATGTTCCAATAATAATAATAAGTGGTTAAAATTTAAATGCTTATTATGATTATAACGGTTAATTATCGGAAAAGTCTCGGGAACACTGTGATAATAATGTAACGTTCAGCATTCAACAGGTTTACATCTAACCTGAAAGTACGTTTTGTGCTGAGTAAGAGTAAATTTTAAAAACAATCTGTGCAAGTGAATCTAGAAGAAAGGAGAAATAATGAACCGGTAACTTACTAACCACATAGGATGCACTGTTGATGGTGAAAACAATTGATAACAATCATTAATAACAGGTATGAGGTCAAGAAAATCTGGTAATCGAAACTAGAAATTGATAGAGTAACATTTCGAACGTGCTATAATGTAAACATGGAATTGTAGTAACCATACACACATTAATAAGTGATCATCATAATTATATTGTTTGTCACATAAAGTAAACTTAAAAAAGACCCGACTTGAAATAAGATGTATGTCATGAGATTTTATTTAAATAACATAAGTTACAAACTAATAAACACTTGTAGTGTCGGCTACTATGTCAAGCCTACATAGTTTATTCTAGTTTCTGACCAGGCCAATTTATTCATTCTTTTTGAGTCACGCTTTGGCCTTGTTAACTATTCACTTATCAACCCTGACTGTTTTCATATGTGTTTTTACATCTTATCCTACTCATCACATGTCGTTAGTTTATTTTTGTGTAACTATAACCATGCATTAGTGCTTAATTAAATCGAGTTAGTTCACATGCCTTCACCACTGCGCATCATTTCGTTTCTCTTCGTTCCTTTGATCGTCTGCATAGATCAATGATTGTACAAAGTACATGTACTCGATGAAACATTTGTCTAGTGTATCCTAGTTTTTCTGTGGTTATTTAAGATCAGTTCATGTTATAAACGATCAAACTAGGTATCAGTTTAGAGATCATATTATTTCGACTAAATAGCACATAGTTGTTTCTGAATTTTCGTTAAAAAGAACCATGCATTTTTCTTATTAGCATCTCACATCATCATCTGTTGTATGAAACCATATACACCATACTTATGATAAATGAACATTGTTTTTATTGATGATGTTATTGTCAATTAAGGTTCTGATCGTACATGGGGTACATTCGATTGGCAATTTAATTTCCATTGGGAAAATGTTGTAGATAGAGAAATAGAGCGTATTAATGATGAGCATAATGTCCCGTTACGAACACCTACTATGGCTGGTGGTCTATTCACCATTACTCGTGAATACTTTTATAAGGTAATAGAGTATTTTATGTATGTTCTTCTTTGATTTGTTTTTGAAATTTCATTTAGAAAGTTGATCACGATCAGTTCGACATTTTCGCAGACAAAATGGTCCATGATTCATATAATTGGTTCCCTTCAAAAATTTCAACAAACCATGAATGACCATATTTGTATTTGTATTTCGTTGCTTTCTCTTCAGGTTCTTTGAAGCTAATTATTCTAAATTGATAACATTGTGTTAATCTCTCTCTCTCTCTCTCTCTGAAGACAAAGATCAGGCTGAAGCTTTCGGTTTGTTATAACTTCTGCGAGTTTCAATAGTGTAGAATGAAACTGTTCATTGATAACCTTGAATGATTTCATTGGATCCACATTATGCTCCATGTTTAGCAGATGAAATCAACAAAATACAATGAATTCATCGTATTATACAAATGTGATCGTTCTTATTCGGTCCATGATTGCCGGAGTTTCAATCTTATACATGAAATTGCTAATGAAACGACATATTTCCCATGAATCTTAAATTAATGGAGCTCCAGAATATAGTATATTCTTAGAGAATACTTTTTGATGATATTATCGTTCTGACTATTAAACTAACTAGCATATAGCACAGAACCACTAAAACAATTCGTCTGAGTTGCATATTTATTCTCGAACTGTTGTTTCAATCCCTAACTTTTACTACAATTGTGTTTTCCATCCGGGATGCCATACCATACTCTATATTGAACAAAGAGTAGACTGTTGTAGCTTACTCCAGCTTCTTGAAATGAAGTATTCAATAAAACGTACATCATATTGTACATAATTTACCTATTATATGATCGGATGTCTTTGGTACCACTCCATTAATAAACAAGGAAAACATTGCGGACAAATTCAGTCGGTATTTTGGTATTGTCGCTCAAATGACCTCTCTTTCCTAGGATAATTCCTTCTCGCTTTATTCATCTCTCATGATGTACTGATGTTAGGTATAACAAATTATACCGATGCAAACATTCTTAGTTTTAATTTAATTCAATGATTAAGCAAGGAAGTCACATTATACACTAGGATGAGCTCTAGTTTTACTTGAGTTTGTTTAGAAGTAGAATGTGAAACTACATTTCAGGTCATCAAAACCCACGAGTACTTTATTTAATGAACCATCTAACATGTCCTTGCATAGTATTCTAGGAAAATGTCACCTACTTCTTACTCTTCATTTCTAGATTGGTGCTTATGACGAAGATATGGAAATATGGGGTGGTGAAAATATTGAATTATCATTTCGTGTTTGGCAATGTGGCGGTGAATTACTAATCGATCCTTGTAGTCGTGTTGGACATGTATTTCGTAAATCTTCACCATATACATGGCCCGGTGGTGTTAGTCATATATTACATAAGAATTTTGTACGTACTGCACTAGTTTGGTTAGATCAGTATAGTCGATTTTATTTTATGCTGAATCCATGTAAGTAATTGGTAAACCATATCATCATTATTATGACTTCAGTTACACTTATTTACTTTTTGTTTCTCAATAAAAATGACACGTCAATCTGTCATATTTCGTCGATTATAACTCAATCCTAACTTGGCTTTTCTTCTCAAAGGATGCTTAAATTACTTATTGTTATGACATCTTATCATGTGTACCTAACCACCGCCTGCCCTAACGCTCGATGTTTGTTGGCGTGGGAATAGATTTTTTTTTTTAAAGATAGGAGACGGCCAAATAACTTGTAACGTGTGATGATAGCTTAAGAAAAAGTGATTATATAACTTAGTCTGTTGCTTATAAGTTCATTATTGTATGATATTACAAATAAGTAAGTTATCGACTAGTCAATACTAAATGCTGCCGCCTTTCAGTGTATACAAATTTGACTATTAATCTGACTGAATAAATCTATTGACCATTTTGGTGTACTTTAGGGGTCGAATAATTTCTTGTCTATATTTTTTGTGTTCTTACCTGCGTCGTTTGATTCTCAGTCTTCCAGTACCAAGTCAGCTAACCACCCCACAAATGTAACACTTCATATATCTCTTTCCATTCTGTATTCTCGAACCATATTTTCAGTGTTCATTTTTTGTCATTGTTATCGTTAGTACATTACTTTAATTCATTTCCTATTCATTCTTTTCAAGTTATCTCGATATGTTAATGTGGTATGTCGACATATGTCAATACATATATGCCAGACTATACGCTTATTATGGTTGGCTCGCTCTGAATATTGTTAAGACATTAGGAGTCTAACACTATCAAGGATCGTGTTGTAGGTATCTTCAGAACGAAACAATTCATATTCATACTCTTAAACTTGTAAATTTGCGATTTTTCACAAGGCTCACAAGTCACACTATTGTTATTGTTGGCTATTTAAACACATAAACATTAGTACAAGGAGGAGCCAAATAGACATGCGTCACATGAATCATTGTACATGTGTGAGGGCTGAGATACTTTCCGGATGCCCGAACCGAAGCAGGTGGTTTCCTTAGGAGGCCACACCCAGAGCCTTCGACCTAAATCTCTAATCCACATGGCAGTGAAGCAATGTCAGAAGATCCAGTCCCATGGTGACCGGTGACCAACAATTGGTTCATACGCTATTTGTTTTCTCAGGGTCCTTGAGTCCATATACACCGTTGGTTTGGAATGAGGGTTTTCCACCTCGCCTAGGTGGATCCTCCATATCCACCGACCTGGTGAAAGCGCCGGACATTTGCTTTTCGTCCTCTCAATTTCGTAAACAACAGTAGTGCCGCGATAAGGTAGTGAGCAAGAGTTCCCTGACAGTGGTTCTGTACGTGTGGCCATGTGAAAGTATCTGGGGAGATCTGACTCTCCCTACTCTTGGCCGCACCAGGGCATTCGGGGGCCATAAATCACACTTATTGTTTCTTTTTCGAAACACAAGCAGTAGATCCCCGTAGAATTTGATAAAGAGTTGTGATATCGTGTGGAATACGAAGTCTATGAATGTTATCTAGTTGAAAGCGTGTAACTAGGTTTCCTACTGGTTAACACATATCACCAAATAGCAACTTCAACCTTAAGAAATTTCATACTTCCTGTGTGTTCTGGAGTGTATCAATCGGCTTCACAGTCTGAGACGTTAGCACCCAGCCATTCGGGCTGCCATTGATTTTTTAAAACTCAACATCTCAACACAGTGCGCACTATTTCGGATCACTTAGAATAGTATCTTCATTACAACACGATAGAAAGAGTTCAATCAGCACTAAAGGATTAGACAACCATAACACTACTCATTAATCAATCAATTGTAGAAAACTGTAGATACTGAATTTATTATTGTGAGGGATAGTGAGTTTAAACAAGTTAGTATTTCTGAAATAGTATTAGATTGTAATTCTTTATTTTCTGGTTTTCAATTTTTCTTTGGTGAATTTCAGTTCGTGATAAAAATTTCTCTTCAAAGCATTAAAAATCTCCACGAATACACTTTAGTAGACATATATATGTGTTTTGTAGTCTAGACAACTATTGAAAGCCTGAAGGAACTGAATAGCTGTTTTGTCTTAATACCAGAACTCAGCAGTGCAAATCTACTACCCTACCGAGGATCGAACCTAAAACTTTCGGGCATTGGAATGATCACTTAACCTTAAGTGGACATCCGATGATTTACATTTCCTGTTTTAGTCAGCGCATGATACAATACAAACCATCTAATGACTTACTTACTTACTTACTTACGCCTGTTACTCCCAATGGAGCATAGGCCGCTGACCAGGATTCTCCAACCCACTCTGTCCTGGGCCTTCTTTTCTAGTTCCATCCAATTCTTGTTCATTTTTCTCATGTCTATCTCCAATTCTCGGCGTAATGTGTTCTTTGGTCTTCCTCTTCTCCTTTGGCCTTGAGGATTCCATGTGAGGGCTTGTCTTGTGACGCAGTTGGGTGCTTTCCTCAATGTGTGTCCTATCCACTTCCAGCGCTTCTTCCTGATTTCTTCCTCCGCTGGGATCTGGTTTGTCCTCTCCCACAGTAAGCTGTTGCTAATAGTGTCCGGCCAATGGATCTGAAGTATTTTGCGTAAACAACTGTTAATAAACACCTGTATTTTCTGGATGATGGCTTTCGTAGTTCTCCAGGTTTCTGCCCCATACAGTAGAACTGTCTTGACATTTGTATTGAAAATCCTGACCTTGATGTTGGTTGACAGTTGCTTTGAGTTCCAGATGTTCCTCAGTTGTAAATATGCTGCTCTTGCTTTGCTGATCCGCGCCTTCACATCTGCATCAGATCCACCCTGTTCATCAATGATGCTGCCCAAATATGTAAAGGTTTTAACATCTTCCAAATCTTCTCCGTCAATTGTGATTGGATTGGTGCATGCTGTCTTGTATCGGAGAATCCTGCTTTTCCCTTTGTGTATGTTGAGACCTAACCATCTAATGACACTGATAAGCATTTACCTCACATCAGACAATCAAGTTCAATTGTCTCCACAACCTCGTTACACTAAACTATATTTACTCTTGGAACATTATTATCATTATATATTTTCGTTAGTAGCTAACCAGTGTATAATCGATGTTTCATGAATCTTTCTTAACTAATCAAGTATATAATTAATTTTTTAAATTATTCTATCGAGGAATTATTACATGCCAACGAACTAACTACCGAAAAATACTGACATTTATAAATTGGTTCCTTTTTTTCTCAGCGATGGGTTAAATTAATTACATCTTTCTAGGGGAAAGGGTGGTAGAAGAATAAGCCCACACAAGTACTTTAATTTCATGTTCGTCGAAACTATTTGAACAAGTTGTTTCCAATCGGATAAAATGTCATTTGAATGTTTGTGTATATACAAGTATGGGAACGTTTAAAATAGTTAAATGGGGTATATAAAAAGATTAAAAAATAATTGATGAAACAACCGAAATTTATTCATAGTTTTATCGTTTACATACTGAAGTGTACTTGAGTTGTAATTGTGGGTTATGGAAACTAGATTGAAGTAGGAAGTGTGCTACATCAATCAATCATAACAAAATAGACCTGCGCGAAATGTACATCAAATAAAGTTGCAACACATTATCAGAGAAGCACTACTCCCTTGTAGCCCCTTTAGGATTACTGCCAGTCCGAGGTCGGAAAAAGGAGGAGGTTCAGGCGAAAGGTCAACAATACCATCTCATAGCAAAGAACCATGCTAAGGAAACTCATACAAACGCTGCATTATTAGTTGAAGGCTATTCATAAAGAAGAATTATAAGGCCTCATGATTAAGTGAAAACCAACATTCTTTGGAAGTCACGAGGGCGATGTCACTTCTAACAAACAGAGCAACGATAAATATGGATACGTGGGATGTTCGCACAATGTGGGAGACTGAAAGGACTAGTAAAATATCTATGAAAATGAGAATATATAACCTGGTGATGTTCAGAATAAGTGAAACTCATTGGACGCAAGCTGAATAGAAAAGATACAATTCGAAAGAGAATCTGTTGCACTCTAGTCATGAAGAAGACAAACCTTCCCATACACAAGGAGTTGTGGTCATGCTGTTCAAAGAAGTGCCAAAAAACATATGGAATGGGAATCTCATGAATCCAGGATCATCAAAGCATCCTTCAATACAACAAAGAAGGAGAGAATCATAGTGAATTTTGTCCAGTGAAATGCACTCACCAGCGATTTCAACGAACACAGCAAATATGAATTTCATGAGAAGCTGCAGTCAATTGCACAGACGTGGTCAGGAAACAGCCTAACAATCCTGATGGGAAAACTAAACACCAAGGTTGGAATGGACAACACCTAGTATGGCGATAACATGGGCTGACGAAAATGGTGAGAGATTTACAAATTTGTGTGCCTTCAGCGAAATGGTTATAGATGGGACTATTCTCCCCCTACACACGCATACACAGATCTACTTGGGTTTCACTTGACCACACTACACAGAACCAGATTGGTTACATTTGCAGCAATAAGAAATTAAGTAGGTCCACGGAAGACGTGGGCAAAATGATTAAAACTTACATAGCTTCAGATCACCATCTACCTGGTGGTTGCTAGGATGAAACTGGAGCTAAAGAAGGTTCAATGTAGCCTTCCTTCGGGGTCTCAACATATTCAGAGGAAAAGAAAGATGCAGAAATACAACACAGTGAGCATTAATATAATCACACTCGATGAAGAAGTTATAGAAGCAGACGAAACTTTCACGTACTTGATCAGCATCATCGATAAACATGGAGAATCTGATGCAGATGTGAAGACAAATATTGACAGAGAAAGGGATGTACATCTACAATTGTAGAGCATCTGGAAATCGAAACACCTGTCCACCAACATCATAGTCAAAATTTTCAATACGAAAGCCAAAACATTTCGATTGTACGGAGCTAAAACGCGGACAGCAACTACAGTCATTATCGAAAATGTACAGATATTTATTAACAGTTGCCTAATGTCATAAGCGACAACCTACTGTGACAGAAAATATATCAGCTTGTCGTTGGAGATGAAAATAGGAAAAGAACCTGGAGGCGGATAGGCTATACATTTTGGAAATCATCAGACTGCATTACGAAGAAATCCCTAACTTGGAATCCTGAATGTCAAACCAAGGAACACATTGCACCGGAAATCGGAATTTAGTAACCCATATTATCTATATTCGATAACGAGCTACATTCCCATTGTGTGTGTAGAAGTACAAGCTCTTCCTGGTATAAATCTGTTTGTTCAGTAGTTACAAATCCTAAATAATATGATTTCCCAATATTTACACTTCATACTTTAATGTATTATTTCCAGTCTAGTTATGTAATACCAAATTTAATGTATATGAATTTCTATGCAATGATAATGATCAACATAGACAGAAGACCACTGAGTCGGCATGTAACGGTGTTAATGTTTAACTTCAACCATTACATTGGAGTTCAACCAGGTCTATTTCGAGATATCAGCTCACTGAAGACAATGGTGACGGTGGCGCAATTTCGTGGATTGGTTGGAGTTAGACATGAACGCTGTTGGGTGCTAACTCAATGGTCTAATAGTTAAGCGCTCGCGCGCGTGACTGATAGGTCGTAGGTTCGAATCTCGCGGGGGGCGAGATCGTGGATTCGTACTGCTAAAGAGTCCCGTACTAGGTCGAAACGGCCGTCCAGTGCTTTCACGTTTTCCATGGTGGTCTAGCTTCAAGTGTCTCATAATTTCAACTATTGGACTTACTAAAACCTCCGCAAAACCCCTTCTGATAATAGATAGAAGAGTTAAACAACAGACATTCTTCAATAAAAAAACCCCTCCAGCTTCTGATAAGTAGACTGACATTTTCTTTTCTTTTTTTCCTTGAACTATTGACCTAATTCCTTATCAAATCTCAATCTGATCTTTTCCAATAATGCTTGTTATGCAACCGGTTGCTTTCATACAAGTCAAACTGAATTCAATAAGTTTAATTGAAATATTCATGATCTAACAATTGTATAAATACTACTAAACCAGATAAAAATAGGCATCAATCTAAATTCATTACCAAGACAAGATAAAATATACGTGTATAACATGAAGAAAGAAAAAATTAACTGATATGTTAGTTAATCCGTTTTTTTTCGGTTCAACAAGTTTTAACAACATTATTCTTAACCAGGTTGTAATTTTTCATTCATTCATGCTGAAACTTGAAGAGTACTATATCATATTCAATCACAAAATAAGTTTACTTCTATTTCTATTTCATTGACTTTCAATCGGTCGAACTTTTATTTATCCTATAATTCAATTCAAGACAATCGGAGACTATCTTCACTTCATACAGTAAGTCAGTCAGTCAGAAAACAACGTAGAACTTCGTACATACATACATCAGTTCGACTTGCCATACCACATTAAAACACAGAAACAATTATCAATTCAAAACCCTTAGTGGTAGAGGTAGTAAAAGTATAAGTAGTGATTGGAAAGATTAGGACTTGAAGATGTTATTCAAGGAGTATAATACAGTGATGCACCTGCGCCATTGCAAACGATTTTTAGTCATGTCATTCAACGTCTCTAACCATCAGTTGCTATCATCTCGAAGATCCCAATCACCTAGTCTACACTTACCAACATGGCTCGCTCAGTCCACTTGTCAGTGACTTCATGGATTTGTGCCATAATTTGGTCTGGCCACTTCTAGCTTTCTTTCTTCCTAATCCTACACCATAAAACATCGCGCGTCAGGGCAGTCGGGGGTTGGTCATACGTAACACATGTCCCAGCCATCTTAACTGATGAAGTTTCATTACTTCATCAATTGGTTTGTCATCCTTATCTAATACCCGTTTCCTAACAAGTGGATTACTTACTCGGTGGTGGTATGATATATGAGTAATACTTCGGAGACATCTATGATCAATTACTAGTAACGTACGAATATCCTCTACTCTTACTGGACATTCGTACTTTACTAGTATTCGATACAATAAGTATAGCTCATAGGTTAATTATCCTTTATTTGTTTTTTTCTTGAAGTGAATTATATTTAAATTATTCTGTTCACCAACGTTGAATTAGTTCCATTAGTTTGATCACATTGTTATATGAATGTAAATTCTAATAATACAAGAATAAATATATTTCCTTGAAAAAGCTGGAACCAAGTTGCCCGGCGAAACGTTGAATTTACTTCGAATTCTTTCGCTGAGATTTTACAAATACCATATTCTTCCTCTTTAAGAGTAAATATTGTTTAAGAATTTAAGTCTATATCTATACATGTACACTCATTTTTACTATTAATATAATTGAAATGAATATTTCTTTCTTTCAATTTCATCATTCGATCATCTACTTATGTTTACTTGGTAACATAATATAATATGGTTTATTGATTTCACTATAGATATTTATACATAAACAAATCGTACATATCACTTGAAAATAAACATCTCAAAATGCTTTATTTGTTTTCTGTATTTCCTGAAACACTTGTCTTATATATCTGTTTGCTGATTGTTACACACACACACACACACACATTATTTATTTATTTTAACACATACGTATTGGTACAAGGAGGCACCAAATACATATGCGCTACACAAACCTCGTTTGATTTGTGTGTGGACTGTGATACTACCTGGGTGCCCAAACCGGAACAGGTGGTTTTCTTAGGAGGCCACACCCGGAGCCTTCGACCTGAAGGTCTGATCCATAAGGCAGTGGAGCAATGTAAGGAGATGCAGTCCCATGGTAGCCGGTGACTAACGATTGGTCCATACGCCATTTGTTCCTTCAGGATACTGGATCCCATGTGGAGCATTGGTTTGAAATGAGGGTTTTCCAACTCCCCTAGGTGGACTCTCCATGTCCACCAACCTGGTTAAAGCGCCAGACATTCGATTTTCGTCCAGTCATTTTCGTAAACAACACCCCCGCCACGAGAAGACAATGAGTACCAAGACATTTGAGGGCGTTACACACATATGTTTATTTAGTTTAGTTAGAAATCGAAGGTAGAAGAAAAATAAATAAGAGAAGAGAAGAAAAACTAGTTCAGTCGTTGGTTATAAATTCTTCAACCAAGTAAAGGACATGTGTATTACAGGTTTTGTTAAACACAAAAGCTAAGATTTTTAACTCGAATTCTTTAATATATGATGGATAACATCAAACCCGATTGGAAATTATTAAAAGTACACAATCAATTGCTTTTGATTTTAAAAAAACTGACTACTATCGAATAAATTTGATTAGTGATAATCTTAAACGCTCTGTAATTAGTATATTTATTAGTTAGAATGCTTTATACACTTGATAATAAATGATAAACTAGTTGCTAAATGATTAGAATATCTATTTGTAGGTTGGTCTAAGCTATACTCCATCCACTTCGTTATGGATAGTAATAGTATATTCCAGAAGTATCCCTAGCCTTCATACATAATACTTACACCTGTTACTTCTAATGGACCATAGGTCGCCGAATAGGGAGGTTGATTATGAATACAGTGATCTTGAGTGCTGTTAGAGGTATGAGGGTGGTTATCACTTTCCAGTTGCCCACACCGTGGGAGGGTTCTTCTGGATGTACCTGAGAAGGAAATCGGATTAGAGATAGTCTTAGTGACCTGGGACCGTGACCGCAGTGCCAAAGGGACAACTGCTTGAGGCCGATCACACACGGCCATTTTATGAGTAATTTGTGTTAGCTCCGTACTTGTTTAGACGTTACGCCGGAAGCGGATATCCGTGAGGTAAGGCGAGGTGTGCATTTTTAGGGTCGACCTTTTCTAACCCCACCCCTCCTTGTGGGAAGGTAGCATCGCTGTCATGCTGGCTGTGAAGGAAACACCTTACTGCTGTCGCACCTCTGTACAGTCAGCAGTACGACTTCGCCTTCGGACCTTGGGTTTATTGCTTTTAGTCTTACCGACCTGTCTGACATGGTAAGACCTTGAGGAACGGTTGTTCCAGCAGGTGTAGCTCGGTTGCTTCATCACGATAGGCAAGCCCGACCACCACGTCAAGATAGCAACAACGGTCGTGTAGGCCGCTGATCAGCATTAAATGAGTTATAATACATATTGTACACTATTGTTGTAATAATAATCATTATATCTGTTACATTATGCAATATTCTAATTTGTTTTTATAATTGTTATACATACATATATATATCTTTTCACTTACACTAATAAAGCTGCTTTATCAGTTAACTATGGAGATATTTCTAAACGTAAAAAACTTCGTCAACAATTAAATTGTAAAAGTTTTCGTTGGTATTTAGAGAAAATTTATCCTGAATCATCTATTCCAATTGATGTGATAAGATTAGGTGAAGTAAGTGTTTCGTTTTTACATAATGCATAATGATAATCTTGCTATTACATCATTATGTTGATTATGCGTTTTGTCAAATTCTTTACTTGTTTATCTAAAGGATAGATGTACATATATATACACCAATGAGTTGTGTACCCTTTCATTCGGTTTGTCAATTACAACTTCCTAGTCATTCTTAGTATTCTTATTGACGTATCAATTTAGGGTCGCGTATATATATATATATAAATATCTAAATCAGTTGACAGGACAACGTAACAGTTTTGATGGAGTTTTGTTCTCTGAGCTGGATGGTTTGGTCGTGGAGCTTTCATGTGAAACACATATGGAGAAATCCGAACACTTCACTTCTATCTGAAGTTTGTGCTGATGATGTCGTTCAGAAGAACGATGAAAGCTCCACGACCAAGCCATCCAGCTCAGAGAACAAAACTCCATCAAAATCATCCACCTGAGCTACAAATCTTCTCCACCATCTCAACGTAACAGTTTCCCTAAATAACAAATAGACTATCGACTCCAAATTCGATTTTCGCTCTCCAATTTCATTTCAACAACTAGTTATACTTATAACAACTTTGTTTTAATTCAAATTACAGGCTGAAACATCGAATAAATATTTACATTTATTTGTTCCGTCGAATATTCGAAGAAATATTCACTGTTTTTTTTCTCAAAGTATGTTTGGTACATTGTCAATTTCTTAGTGTTCTCAATCTGTTCCTCCTATCAATTTTTAACATATTTTCTTGCTTCAAATGTTAGGACAATCATAGGTGTATGGTTTTTTTCAGACTCATATCTTAATCACTTATTCATTGAATTCATAAGTTTATCATTATGTATCCGTTTTCTAAAATGCTGGAATTCGACACAGAATCTGTTCAAATCCTTATGGTTGTGAATAAAGAAAAAGCAACGATGTGTGTCTCTATCCTTCCGAGTTCTTATGAAGCCGTTTCTCTGAACAGCACATTGACGACTGTTAACGGGGATCCATTCTAATAGTGTTTTTTATACCCTCGTACTATGCCTACACCCACCAGTTCACGGGAACTAGCCATCGGGTCGCCAGATACACGGATAGTTGTATGTCGTTGGCTCTCCGTTTCGACGAATTGAGGTTAAGTGTGTGATAACCACACTAGGATCTTGTATACGTGTTTCAAAGTCACAGCATACATTAATCGTACGAGATTCTAGGGTTTTAGCCAACGAGGTCTGCTGGCCGATTGAACACGGTGCGTATGTTGAAGACTCTAATAGGTCGTTTGAAGCGAGGTTTTTAGTAGACCTGGGACAATGTTTCGCACACTAGAGATTGTGAATTTGTTTTGTTGTTTTTTTTGGTGTTGTTCTGGTATTGACTTAAACTGAATACAAATATTATCTCTACTTATTAGCCTTATATATATATACCAATCTCCATGTGAAATAGTAGTGTTTCTTTTTATTGGGTTATTTTCATTTCTTTTTTTTTTATTGATCAATCCCCATATTTGGAAAAGAAGAAAAAGAAAACAACAACATTCATTGAATGATCGAATTAGTAATTGAACATTAGTCACAATTTTATGTCTTTTTGTTTATTTTTATATCAAGTTTAATGGAAAATTGAAACATTGAAATTAATTGACTACGCCTAGAATCCATGCTACTCTTATTCATAATCATAATCACAATAATCACTATTGCTTATTATTCTGTTGTCATCAGGGTTTTGCTTTTCTTCTTCTTCTTCTTCTTCTTCGTCAACTGATCAATCATTAAGACACAAACCTGTTCTGATGTTAAGAAAGAACATTGTTTGTTTTTGTTATTGTTTACCATTTCATAGTTTATGGAAATATGTCCTTTTCAATACTAGTTCAAATGTCATTTTGTTTATTTGCTAAACAGAATACACCTATTAAGACATTAAATAAAAAAAAGATTAATTCAGTTAAAGAGTTGTCCTTTCGATGAATTTCAACTCTTATCCTCATTCACATGAAATGAATCACTTTTCAGTAATATAGAAATATGTAGACAAAAGTCTAGGACATGATTTCAAGTTTTAAGTGGCTTAGATTTTGTTATGGTTAAATGGATCAATGGTTTTGTTTCTCCTCTTCTCTGTCAATTTATGGCAGTGAAACATAGCCGGTAAGAGTAGAGGATATTCATACGTTACTAGTATTTGATCATAGATGTCTCCGAAGTATTACTCATATATCATACCACCACCGAGTAAGTGATCCACTTGTTAGGAAACGGGTATTAGATAAGGATGACAAATCAATTGATGAAGTAATGAAACTTCATCAGTTAAGATGGCTTGGACATGTGTTACGTATGACCAACCCCCGACTGCCCTGACGCGCGATGTTTTATGGTGTAGGATTAGGAAGAAAGAAAGCTAGAAGTGGCCAGACCAAATCATGGCACAAATCCATGAAGTCACTGATAAGTAGACTGAGTGAGCCATGTTGGTAAGTGTAGACTAGGTGGTTGGGATCTTCGAGATGATAGCAACTGATGGTTAAGAGACCTTGAATGACATAGCCTAAATTTGTTTGCAACGTGCGGGCGTTAAAACTATCACGAGTTCACTTAATCGGTGAACGAGAAACAAGACTCGGTGACCAAAGACCAATAAGCTAGCTATTGATGCGTCCCAGCCCCGCTAACTAGAGGGAGAAGAACAAGCTTGAAGTGGGGGAGTATATTCTGCAAACAGCCAGAAACGAGCGATAACAGCAAACACAATTCAAAACGCATATACAGTACAAAACGTCCTTGAGAAGAGTTACCAAATGGCATAAAAAAGACGCAGCAGACCAATGGGATGTAAGATATTTCCCAGTGGGAAATACGACATGAAGGTGACAAGAGAGCCTTTGGCGCGAAAACAAAGAAATCCAAATTTTCTAAATACAATTACAAAATTAGGTCCTTTCTCAAGTGAGTTCTGGGGATCTAACGTCCCCAACTCTACGGAGCAGGTGCACCCACAGTTTGACTTCTCCCAAATTCTAGTCTTCTGATTTCTACATGTCCCTTTCTTTTTTCTCTTTCGAAATTTATTTCACTGAATTATACTCATTGAATAACATCTTCAAGCCCTAATCTTTCCGATCACTCCTTATACTTTTACTACCTCTACCACTAAGGGTTTTGAATTGATAATTGTTTCTGTGTGTTAATGTGGTATGGCAAGTCGAACTGATGTATGTATGTACGATGTTCTACGTTGTTTTCCGACTAGCTGGCTGATTTCTATTAATTGTTTATACCTTCTGGTATATCAATGATTTTACCGTTCATTTCACTTCTTTTATTGATTACGTTAATATATTCTTTAAGTCCGTCACAGAATAATTAATTCGTCAAAACGAGTTTATTTCCGAAACGAATCTGAAAACACTGTTTATGTATTTTATACAATGATTTGTGATCAAGAAATTAGGTTTATCATCTCACTTAAATATTTATAGAAGAGGGAACTTATTAAATGTTAGAAAATGTATGATCAAAGTGTAACAGAATTAGGATCATGTTATAGAAAGTAATTCAATTGACTGTTTTTGTACACACAAATCTAATCTTTAAATTATCGGTGGACCAAATTTCCGCAATATAATATAGTTTAAAGTGTACGTCCCTTTTATCGTTTGACTGGATCTTCTAAATTAAGGCTAGATGTCCAGAATCTACTACATGATGAAGAATGGAGAACTGAATTTATATAAGTTATCCGTTGTCAAATGATATAGGGGAAAACCCTATTGAATGTTTTGAAGTAAATGATCTCAACAGACGACCTACCATTCTTGCTTCACTAAATTTATTGTTATTATTATTATTATTAGCTTTATTCAATATTATATTTTTGGTACAATATAGAATTCTCAGCGTAAAGTATTTCAACAAGTTTCCGTTTCTTTCTTCTTGGTCGATCCTGGCGATAAATATTGAGTGATCGCCAGTTAGATGTTAGCAGTCCAGTAAATGAACATCTGAATAATGTACATTCTTTTTGTTGTATATTGCCAGCAACCACATAGTCTCTTATCGAGCTTTTTGTAACTTTGACAACGAAAGGTTGTGCACTTTTCAGAAATGCACCAGGATAGGTTATGCGATTAATAAACATAATGATATATTAAAACAAACAAAAATAGATAACTTATTGAAATGTCTAGATGGCAGGAACAGGTAGCCCAGATGCTCAAGTATATATACATTGAATTAGTCAGTCATGGTTACTTATCTTTTATGCATAGGTATTTAGGTATGTTGAAAGATTCTATTTAGTTAATTTTTATATCTATCACAACTTATCATAATAATACTCTAACAAACATACATAAATTATTTTATTGATAAAGCATAAACATTCTTGCGATACATTCTATTACTTATTTACTCCTGTTACTCCCAACAGAGCTCCTCTGGGTCTACTACCGGTCACAAGCCCGGATAAAGGAGGAGGGTTTATCATGGGGTTAACGATCCCATCCCGTTGAAAACTAACACTCTAACCATAAAAAATTATACATTCTAGTGTCATGTAATTAATCTAAACTATTTCTTTTTATGAAGGTCTTCTGAATTTTAAGATTATAATCTTCTATTATTGTGTCAACACATATACACTTAGAATATTTGAAACTCATTCACTATACTTCATTGATTATGTATTATTTTCTAAGTATTACATAAATTCCCATGACAGGCCTATGCTCCCTCATGAGGTGTAATAGGTGTAAGTAAAGTAAAAATCTCACAAATTATATTTTTACTACTAATACAGATCAGACAAGTAGTAAGAAAGAAGAAAGTGATTATCATTGAGAACAATAAAAGACTGACAATATTTTCCTATTGGATACATAAATTTCTTTATTTCACTAATTATTCTCTATTATTCGATTACCACGACGTGCAATGCTAACCGGTGTTGAAGATGAATGGAAAAAAGTTAGGGGCGGCCAAACCAAAACGTGGCATCAGTGCTTGAAGACACTAACTTCTAATGTGAGCCATGTTGGTAGATGCAGACTACTTGGTTGGGGTCCGCCTGACTATCGTAACCAATGGTTGGAGACTCTTGGTGACATGGCTCAGAATCGATCACAATGGTGTAGGTGTATATACTCTCTGTCTTCCCTTAAACATTGAGATTAAAATCACTTCATATCTTTCTTTCTACGAACTAATTCTTTCTTCCTGTACTATATCCTTATTACAATCTTTCTTTTATATATTACCACCCCTGAATTAACTACTTTTATGAATCCGGTGGTCATCTTGTTGTGATAATGCGGTATGGCAACTTGGACTGATGCATATATGTGCCTGGTCCTACGTTGTAGCTGACTGACTGACTGATTCTCTATTATTATATGGATCATTTGAACCGATTCTTTGATACACTATCAGATAAATTAATAAACTTGACTATATTGATAACGGTTCTTTATATTTAACAGTTTTTTTATTGGATAATAAGTTGGTATCTGAAGTAATAGTTGTTGGGCTAGTTATATATTTAGTTGACAAGTCCCTAATGGGATAAAATACACGTCCTATCCAATCATTTGATATGAATAATAACTGTAATAAAACAATATGAATTCAATAACTTTTCGATAGATTCTCTTGAGCACATTACAACTTATAGAACATCCTTTATCAATCATACAAAAATAATGAATGTATCACATATTTTCAATACAATTTGAAGTATTAATTGAGACTGAAACATAACCTAAAGGTGGATTAAATCAAGTCAGTTAATATGAAATTTCAATAGTTGAGATCATGAGTCATTTAAAGCTAGACAAGTATGGAAAACCTGGAAGCACTGGACGGCCGTTTCGTCCTATTGTGGAACTCTTCAACAGTGTGCATCCACGATCCCACCTCGTGAGATTCGAACCTAGGACCTATCGGTCTCGTGCGTGAACGTTTAACCTATAGACCACTAAGCTAGCATTCAATGGTGTTAATGTCTAACTCCAATTAATCCAGGAAAATGAGCGACACATCCACATGAAATCGTTTGTAATGTTTTCAAATAGGTTTTTCTTAATAGAATAATATAAAATCAAGTGTTGCTCTACTTGTAACACTGTTGAAAGAATTATTTTTAAAGTTAAAACTATACAAAAAAGGAGTAACCATAGTACCCACATGTTTGATACTAAACAAAAATGCCTATTAAAGTAATCAAAATAGATCCCTGTATGATCTTCCGTTATTCATTAATTCATATGTATATCACAAGAAATATGTTAGAAAATAAGAAGGCACTG